ATGTCTACTTCATTCACTGAGGTATACCTGTTTCTATATATGGCTCTGATTTTTGACTAGAATATAGAATTTTTAACATTCACCCTCTGCAGCAAATCATCTTTGTCATTTGGGATTAACTCAGTTTCTGTTAATTTTCAGTCCAAATAATTGTACAGCTTAAGCCTTGTAAAGCACAGGAGCCATTCACTCTTGGAAGCCTCACCGTGTGATGCCTTCCAGTCTCTTGGGTTTGAGATTTAGGACCTTCTTCCAACAGATGCCCCAGTGGTTCCAAGAAAAAGTAGAAGAAACAAGCCTTACTCTGACTTATATTTCTTAGGATTTTTTTAAATCAAGATCTCCAAAAAGAGTTCATCATGGCATTGATCACTTTGTATTTGGGAAGACATTCTGAGCATTACACTCTTTTATTAAGAAAATAAATCTTTCTGATATAAATGAGTTTATTACAGAAACTGTAACTAATTTTTTTGCTAAGAGCAATGGGAATATGAGCTAAAATCCCATCCAATTAAATGTAATTTGGGTATCAATATTGGAGACTTGATGACAGGCAGCTGAATGCTTGGGCTCAGGCTTCCTAAATTGAAAGACAATGGAATGTACCCAGAGCTACAATTTGTCCCTACCTCTGTGAAAATGAACCCCGTTATTTTCTCATTAAGCCACAAAGCTTTCATTTTCAATCTCAGAGACAGCAAGGAGAAATTCTTAACTCTGGCCTCTTTACTTGATTTCTCTAGGGATCTCAACCCAGCAGCTGAAGCCAGCTGCTCTAATTAGCACAGCAAACAGCAACTTTGCATGAAAATAAGGACTGGGGAAAAATGAGAAATCTTTCTGAGATCGTGCACCGAAAAACATAGTGTGGATCTCTGCAGGAAGGAACAGAGTAAGGAAGGGACTTACGGCCAAGTTACAGCTAGAGGGCAGCTACACTATAGAAACTTATAGTTTCACACTACTTTAACTCTTATGGCTCCATCCTACAGAATGCTGGGTTTTGTAGTTTGGTGGGTACCAGCACTCTTTGGCTGAGAAGGACAAAGACCTTGTAAAACTACAAATCTCAGTATTCCATAGGATGATGCTACAGCACTTAAAGTGGTGTCAAACTGTATTATTTCTACATTGTAAATATAACCCTAGAAAGAAACCCAAATGGATGGGAGACTGGTATTTCAGAGGTCCAAACATAAGTTCCAGTATAAGGGGAAATGTCAAAGGCACATAAGCCAAACCTGCAATCCAATGTAAGGGTTATTCTGCAATGAAGGTTTTGAATGCAGAAGATTTTTATCCCTAGCTATTTTATCCCTTCTATTTAAAAAGATCCCCGTTAGGGGATGGGGGGAAAAAACAGTGATGTGAATGTTGCAATCATTCAGATGTCAGTAAACTGAAACACCCAACCTTCTTCACAATTGGCTATGCTGGCTAAGGCTAATGGAACTTGCAGTCAGACCTGGAAGGCCTCACAAGTTTCATTCAAGTTCTTCATCTTCTGGCGAAAAGGGACAAGGTAAGAGCCAGTCTAGCCTCCCCACAAAATATCACATCCAGAGCCTGGGAAGGAGGCACAAAGGGCCTTCTTTTGTGTTCCCACTATAAAATGTCTTCGAACCTGGAAAGGTTCATATGAAGGGGAAAGTCTTTCTGTAGCCAGGGCCCAGACCATATAGGGTTTCATGGCTTGTAACCAGTCAGTTCCTGAAAGCCTTTCCCATAAAAAAGCCTTTGTCTGCTGAGAGAAAGGCACCCTAGAAAGCTTGTGGGAGCAACCACTGAGGAGCCCTTTCCCATGTTGCCATGAAATGTTGCTGTAAGGATGGTGGGACAAACACTCTGCATTTTATTTGGGAGAATATGGTCCTCCAGATAACCTTAACCCAATCTGAATAGGGCTTTATAAATCATAACCTACACTTTGAATTGTACCTGGAAAGAAACTGATAGCCAGTGCAGTTGTAACTTGGGTGCAATTGGTTGCATACCTACTATATTATTTAAAAACATGTGCTGGAAGAGCCCTTGTAGGGACCTTGGGTGATGATTTAGTATTTTCCCAGATGATTCCCTTCCAAAAGGTATCTATCTGAACTTTTACCTGCTCCTCCCACCACACACACACACACAGAGAAACACACACACACACAATATAAATGTGATGGAAGTTGGACTTAATGGTTCCCTCCCTCCAGCTCTATATTGACTATAGTTCATTGTATCATTAAGAACACTTGATAGGTCTTAGTACAGTGAATGCTAGCAAATGCATCCCCTCACCCACTCCATCTCTTGAATTCTTAAACAAGTGCATGCAAGTATGGAAAGATCTCCTGTGTGTTAAATAACAGCTCAAGTCTTTTTTTTTTCCTTGTCTAATTCAGCCAAAAAGAATGAGTGCCTGATTATATTATCCATTATATTAAAGGTTAAGAAGATAAGATACCTCCCACTCCCCCCCCCCCATCTTTGTTAATAAAGCCGTGAGGTTCAGCTAACAATTATGATGCACTGAATCAATCCATTTAACCATCCAGGGCACAACTGAAAGTAAAAACCTGGGACTTTAGGCCAGACTCAATAGTAGGATATTTTGATGAGGTGGCTGAGATGTTGACTCCTTCAAAATTAGACAGAAAATTCCCAGAAAGGTTAAGTAAATGCATTGCTGGGAAATGTGCTCAGACTAACAAAATAAGAAGACAGGGAAACTGAATACAGAATCAAACCAGAACCTATCATAGTAGCAAACTAGGTTCCATGGTAATAAAGAAAACCTTATAGCTTCAAAGAAAGGGGACAGGGCACTAGATATTATGGGTATGTATAATATCCACAGAGACCATGGCCAATGTTCAGGGATGATGGGGTCAACATATGTGGATGCCCCTAGGTTCCCCTTCCCGCTGTAGAGTCACCAGATATAGGGGCAGGGGTGGGAGAACTCCAACTTTTCTAGACTTCATCTTCCATATTTTCATACCTTTGGCCATGGTGGATGAGACAATGGGTACTGAAATCCAAAACATTTGGATGGCCAAAGATAGTCCACGCAGAAAGGTCATAAATCAATGTGAGGAGACAAGATTTACTCATGGAACATCCCAAATTCAATTTTAGACATCTCAAAATATTGCAGTAACTTTGATATCCATTAGGATCATCTGTCCAATCAGAGCAGTGGTCTAAGTGCACCATAAGTATGACACGGCTTCAGGTGTTTAAGGCATCAGTAAAAATGGGCCATATCCATCTGAACTCCTCCATGAAGTCCTACTCCACCTCCTCACAATAGCGTAGAGCTGGCCATGGTCTCTCAAAAGACATCCCAGCATAATGCCAGCATAATGCCATCTCTGTCTGGTTCCATTTTAAGTATGGACTCAGCACAGGACAGTGTGTCTACTAACCAAGCACCAACCCTCCCAGTGGCTTGTCTGATCAGACCTTTACAACTTTAAAATGCAGCAGATATGGGGGAGTTTGTAAATTCAGTGGGGAAAAGTAAAGCATTTAACTCATTTTTCCTGTTGTGGTAGAATTCAAAGATATAGCCATGTTAGTCTGTAGAATCAGTATGTAGAGAGATCTTGTAGCACTTTTGAGACTAACTGAAACAAAGAAGTTGGCAGCAAGAGCTTTCGTAGGCTTTGGTCTACTTCCAAATGCATCTGAGGAAGTAGACTGAAGTCAAGGAAAGCTCATGCTGCCAATTTCTTTCTTTCAGATAGTCTCAAAGGTGCTACAAGATCTCTCTACATACTCATTTCCCTGTTGTCACTCTTTATTTGCATATTAAAAATATTTTTGCAATGATTATTAGATTTAAAAAGAGAATGCATTAATCGAGCCAGCAAAACACACACAGGCAAGAAAATGACTCTGTAATTGTTTGCACAGTAGCTGTGTTATTTACAACAAATGAAATTAATGTGTTACAAAGTTGGCTTTTGCTAGGCACTTTAAGTGGTGTCAGAATAATGTGAACACGAGCAAATGGTGTTTTCTTTATTCTCCCCACCCATTATTATTAAAGACACTTACTTACCTCAACAAATTAAATTCTCCTGATGAATTATGTATACCGTATTTTATCTCGGCATAATTGCCAGTCTAGGTAGTGTTCAACTAGTGATTACAGAAATGTCTGCCGTGTATATCCATGTTGTGCTAATTCTATATGAACATCAACACACTGAGACTGTGTGTATGGGTTTTGTAATATTAGCCTGCCTTTTGTAATATTAGCCTGCCTTTGCATCAGCGACAGAGCACATACTTTTCACACAGTTTCAGCCCCAAGCATTTTCAACTACAAGGGACAGCCATAAGAACATGAGAACAACCTGTTTGGTGAGGGCATCCTAAGTATAGTTACCTAGTTTAGATAAAATGGAAGACTATACCTGCCTGAAAGGTGGTGGTCATAAGTGACCAAAAGATTTATTCACATCATACCTTATTAAGCTTTCATATGATTAACTGCACTTACCTGTTGCTTTAGTTTCTCAGGTATTTTTAGTTTCTCCTTTACCTTCTCCTGAGGCTGAGAACATATGACTTGCCCAAGGTCACCTGGTCAGCTCTCACCTGAGTTGTAGAGTCCTGTATATGGCATAACCAACACCCATCTTTATTGTGATTGTTTTGAGAATTTGAATTGCATTGTTAAATGCTGAGTGTTAACAGAATAGGTTACCGGGACCATACAACTCCACTGCCCTAACAGCTTGGTCTGTTTCTGGGTGCAATTCAAAGTATTGGTTATAACATATACAGGACTCTATGGCTCAGGTGGGAGCTGACATATTTATCTCCCCATATGAGCCTGCCAGGGCCTCAAGAACCTTGTGTGTGTGTTGTGTGCCTTCACACACTTATGGTGACCTATCATGGGGTTTTCATGGCAAGTTTCATCAGAGGGGGTTGGCCATTGCCTTCCCCTGAGGCTGAGAACATATGACTTGCCCAAGGTCACCCGGTGGGTTTCATGACCAAGCTGGGAATTGAACCCTGGTCTCCAGAGTTGTAGACTAATGCTCAAACCACTATGCCATGCTGGCTCTAGGGAATGCCCTTTCCTTTGTTTTCAGTCCCACCACCTTCACAGCCATGCCCAGGGGGGGGCAACAGGTAATGCCTTCACCATAGCTGCACCTAGGGTCTGGTCTGGACCTTCTTCCCTAGAGAGTCTATAATGACCCTCCTCTTGCTGTGATTTTGTCATCAAAGTCTCATATTAGAAACAAGGAAAGAAGGTGCTCCCAGTAGGGTGGTATACTGTTCCAAATGAGCTGTTTTTAATTGCTTCTTGCTTTTAATGGTGCTATAAATAATTATATAGCAAATCTATGCTGTAAATTTTTTAACACCATGGATAGTTTAATTCAAAAGAGGGGATGGGAAAGAGAGGAAGGAAGGAAGGAAGGAGAGGAGGAAGAGGAGGAAGAGGAGGATTATAAATCCATAATCTAGGGCCACCTCCGAGCTGACGCTGCACATTCTCCAAACCTAGTGTGGCAATGCAGCTATTGCTGATATCTTTCTTGGATGCCATGCTCAGAGTTCTCCTCTCATTATCTCTCAGGGAACTAACCATCTGAAGCAAATGATGCTGAGCTCTCGTGGCTTGCACGACATGATTTCAAAGGTCAGACAGAGTTTATTCTCACTTGTGGAATGAAATTGTTTGTCAGGAGATTCAAATCACATGCTGAAATTCAAATTTAAGTCCTGGAGAGTGGGACCTCTTGGAAAGAGGAGGGAAGCAATCCTGTTCAAAGATGTTTCCCCCTTTCCACATGCTGGGAGAAAGCAAGCAATTGCTCTGCTGGAGTGCTTGGGCCCCCAGTGACTGTGCTAATGGCTCCATTAAACTACCACAGTGGATGTTTTGTGTCTTTGCAATTGACAACTCCAACTGCAGCCCTCTGGCAAAAAATAAAAATGGTGTGTTATTTTTAATGCATGCTTTCCCTTGCCATTTTTGACAAACTGCACTTGCAGATAACAAATGAAGAGTTGCAAGGTTTTCAACAAATCAGAGGTAAGGATAATCAGGAACTTCTGGCATCATAAGGTTTTCAGATTTTATATATATGTGTATGTATGTGAGTGTGTGTGTGTGTGTGTGTGTGTGTGTGTGTGTGTGTGTGTGTGTGTGTATCCTGGAGTGGGGCCCAACGTGGCTAACAAAAGGAAATCAATTAAAATCTGCTAATGATTGGTATTAAAAAGTTAGTATGATGTAGTGATTTGAGTTTTAGACTAGGAATCTTAGAGAACAAAGTTTGAATCTCCACATAGCTATAGAAACCCACTGAGTGATACTCATACTCTTTCATCCTTAGAAAAGGCAATAGCAAACCCCTTCTGAATAAATCTTGCCAAGACAACCCTATATAATAATAATAATAATAATAATAATAATAATAATAATAATAATAATATGATTTATTTATATACCGCCCCTCTGGCAAGCCAATCTAGGTGGTGAACAACAATAATAAATTACAACAAATTAAACAATATCATTCCCTCCTCCCCGAACATCAAACAAATAACAACATTAAAATCCCGTCCCTTCCCCAAAACAAATCAGCCCCACCCCCAAAACAAATCAGCAAACAAATTGAAAAACAATTATTAAAATATACAATATGCACTATAAAAATACAATGCGCAATACAAGATGCATTGCATTATTGCTGGGGAAAATGTTAACAAGTGTCCTCCGGCGCCTCCCTGCTGAGGAGATGGTGCCTGGGTGGGGGTTTTATCCCCAACCCGAGTCCTCTGCAGGCATGGCCCCAGGTGCAGCTGCTCAAGCCCCGTTGGGAGGGGGGGAGAGATGTTACCAGCCAAGGCCCCGAGATGTTACCAGCCAATGGTTATTGCTGCTATTGTTATAATTATTATTAACTTTATACTCTACCCTTTTTTCCCAAAACTGTGATGCAACAAATTAAAATGATGACAAATTAACATATTAAAACTTGCAAATGGTCAACAGTAGTAAAAGAATTAAGTCAGTGGTTCTCAGGCCTTTTGCCCTGTGACCTTCTTTACAACTGCAGGTGGCTGTTGTCTCCATAATATATGAACATAACATATGAATAAAAATATTTTATTTGTTTAGTGTGTGTATTTACATCTGCACATTCATGTAAATTCATATTTTAACATTTCATAAGGAAATAGCATTGTTCAAATTAGAATACTTTTATTTAAGTAAATCCAGTATTTAACTCAATACATGTGTAAATTTTACAAATAAAAGTTTGAGAGGAGGGGGGGATCAGAGCTTTGATATGTTTCACCCTTATTGCTACAGTACAACCTATTTGCTACATTCAGCCCTCCATATCCACAGATTTTTTATCAATGGATTCAACCATCCACGGCTGGAAAATATTTTTAAAAATCTATATTCCAAACAGCAAACTTAATTTTACCATTTTATATAAGGGACCTCATTTCACTATGTCATTGTGTTTAAATGGACTTGAGCATCCATGGAAGTTGCTATCCACTATGGCTCATGGAACCAAACCACAATAGATACCAAGGGCCCACTGTATATAGTTAACTAAACCTAACTATACATAACTAAGGTGACCTAGGATCTTGGCCAAAAAAAAAAAAAATTAAGAGCTTCAAATCAGAATGTATGTTTCTCATCTACATTTGCAGCAGTGGGTTGGTGAAACATATCAAAGCCTTGATTCAAATAGAGTGTTTCTTTTTCCCAACAAGTCTCCCATCAACTCTGGTTCCAGCCAACCTACTTATGTCTCACCTTATACATGTTGCTTTTTCAGCAAGAGGACTCACTTTGTGTCCTTCCTTTGAACTCCCAGAAATCTCGCCTCATCTCTCTTTGAAGTGAGAGCCTAGGAACTGAATGCAATGTCTTCCCAGATCTTAACTCTGCATTCTAACTCTAGGCTCACAATTCCTGTCAAAAGGCATTCGAACTTTGGCTGCCAACATGAGAATTTCCTTGCACAGAGAAACAAATGTTTCATCCTTTAGCAAACATGCTAACTGTTATCAGGAACATTTTTAGCTCCATCAAAACTACACAAACATCCCCCTACTGAAAGCTTTACTGTAATGTCTGTGGAGTGCTGATCCATTCATTTCCGCTGCTTTCTCAGGGTGCATCTACACTGTAGAAATAATGCAGTTTGACAACACATTAACTGCCATGGCTCCATCCTACAGAATCCTAGAATATCTAGTTTGGTGAGACACGAGCCCTCTTTGGCAGAGAAGTCTAAAGATCTTGTAAAACTACAGATCCCAGGATTCCATAGGATGGAGCTATAAATGGTGTCAAATGACATTATTTTTACACTACACCATCTCTGATAACTTATTAGGGTGGTCCAAAGACCTGCAGTCAATAAACTGGGGCAAACTACAGGGAGCACACATCTCCCTTGTTGCAACAGCTCAACTGGTTGTCACTCTGTTTCTAGGAACAATTCAAAGAGCTTCTGATAACCTATAAAGTCCTATACTGGTTAGGGTCAGGCTATTTGAAGGACCATATCTCCCTTTATGAGCCCATTACAGCCCTAAAGACTTCTGGACAGACCCATCTCTCTGTCACAACACCTCCTCAGTTTATTGGATGGAAACAAGGGAGAGGGTTTCTTGGTGGCTGTCCTCAGACTTTGGCACCATCCTTGCTCTCCTTCCACCAGCAAGTTAAAACATATTATGCCATCAAACATTTAGAAACTGAATGGAATGGGCTTTTAATATGGTGTGATGTTGTTTTTGTATGGTTTGTGTATAGTTTTCAAGATATATTTGGATGTTTATAACTTTATAAATGAGATGCAACATGGCATCTGAGTGTTGGACTGTGACTCTGGAGATCAGGGTTCATTTCCCAGCTAGATTATGAAGCCCACTAGGTGACCCTGGGCAAGTCACACTCTCTCAGCCTCAGAGGAAGGCAATGACAAAACTCCTCTGAACAAACCTTGCCAAGAAAACCCAATGATAGGGTCACCTTGGGGATCGCTATAAGTTGGAAAAGACTTGAAGGCACACAACAGCAGCAACTACTTTATAAATGGTTTAATAGTTTTATATTTATGCTTTAATGGAGGTGTTTATATAATTTTTAATCTGTACTGTTTTTAAATATGTTGTTAGCCACCTTGAGTCCTATTATTAGAAGTTAGGTGGGATATAAATGATATTAACAATAACAATAATATCCCCATATCTCTTTCCTTTCCTGTGACCTTACTGGTAGCAGATGCTCCCAGCTGCAAGCTAAAGCTAGTAATAGAGAGATGAAAAGCTATAAAGATGTGGAGATAATTTCTCGTACAAAAGCAGCACTCTTTTACTCTTTGTGTCTTATCTGATATATATATATATTCCGAGAGAGAGAGAGAGAGAGAGAGAGAGAGAAGATTGGATTTAAAGAATGTGGGAGCAGTTTATTGAAAGATGGGTGATTGGAGCTTGTGTGGTGCACCAACAAGCTTTTTACTGATTGAAAAGGAGATATAAAGAGCACTATTCCTCCTTGATAGGTGAAGTAGCTGTGAACAACATAGAAGACTCAAGATTAAGAGAGGAAAATGTTCAGCTCAAAAGAAAAAAAGGGGGGGGGGAAACAGTGCTAAGTCTCTGTCCAGAGTGCTGAAATAACCTGCCTTACATGGAGCCAGGCAAGACACATAAAGTAGAGCTGTTCTCCCTACTGAAGCAAATGTGCCAGGTATGGTATGCTTCTTTTCTTTTTTCTTGTCAACAGTAACAGTTTCCCAAAATTGACACAAGAATTGAATTTTAGTCCAACAACCATTTGCCATTCACAAAGGGAAAAGAAGCTAGACAAGAAAGCTGTGCGACAATATTGAATCAAAGAAACAATAAAACCACATAAAATAAACATTAGAATTTTATGCAAGTTCCATATTTCATCACTTTCTAATATATATTTTCCTGCCTTTATCCAGTGCTTCTTGCTACATAAAATCCGTTAAGGAGAGAGAGAGATGGAATCATTGCACAATGCCTTTTCTTCAGTAGT